AGGGGGGACAAAGGTGGAAAAGGGGGAACGGGGTAAGGGGGGAAGGGGGGAATGGGGAAGGCAAAGGGGTGAATGGGGAAAAGGGGGAAGGGGGGAAGGGGGGAAGGGGGGCAAAGGGGAAGGGGAAGAAAGGGGTCAGAGGGGAGAGGGGGGAAGGGGGAAAAGGGGGAAAGGGAGAAAAAGGGGAAAGGGGGAAAAGGGGAAGGGGGGAAGTTGAGGGAATGGGAAGGAGAGAAAGGAATCGTTTCAACAAGCTCCATCTCCCCCACCACTCCTCAGCAATTGAAGCGCTTCAAGCATCAAACGTTTGCTCCCCTACCCCTCCTCTTTCCCTGCCCCCATACCCATCACACCTCCCTCTCATTGACACCCACCTGTGGGGAGAGCTTCCCTCCTCCTTTGAGCCGTTGGATGCTGACGTGGCGCGTGACCCCCACCTCGAGCATGTCGTACAGGTGGTAGTCGTACATTCGCCCCATCACTAGATTGTGGGGGCGCTTCTTGGAATGCGAGGCAAACTGGCGGTGGTGGTGGGGGGAGGGTGGACAGAGGGGGGATGTTATTGTTGGTGTTGAACGCGTGTCCCCCACCCCACCTTCCGCATGTCGTACATTCACCCGATGACTGTTATGCGGTCGTTTCTTCCAATGGGAGGCGAACTGGTGGGGGTGAGAAAGGGATGGGAGAGATTACGTTGAGATGAGTCAAGCCCCACCCCACCTCGAGCCGTACATTCGCCCAATGACTAGATTATGGGGTGCTTGTTTGAATGGGAGGCGAACTGGAAACAGGATCGGCATGGGGTGGAAGGGAGGGAGGGAGAGAGAGAAAGGGGAGAAGAAGAGGGATAACGGTATTGAGGCGCGTTACCCCCACCTCTTGGTTGAAACCCTCAGCCCTAATTCCGGCACCATGAAATGAACAGGCTGCCGTCGAATTTCTTCGTTAGCTGCTCCCGCGGAGCCTCGACAACCGCCTCGAACGGCCGGTAGTGCTCGTTGGCGCCTACTTCAACTACCCAAAACGCCCCGAACACTAAATCCTAAACCCCGAACCCTGATCCCTCAGCCCTCTCCCCGCACCATGAACAGGCTGCTGTCTGTTTTCTTCGCCAGCTGCTCTAGCGGCGCCTCGCCGCCCGCCTCAAATGGCCGCACGTGCTCGTTGGCGCGCGAGAGCTTCAGCGAGCCCCCGCTGAACCGCTTCAAATGATGCACGTCTGACATTACACCGTTCAGGATCGCACTGGACCGAGTGCCGCGCAGCAGCAGCGCCTGCCGAACATTCTCTTTCTGGTGAAGAGAGAAATGGGGAGTGGGAGGGGGAGCGGATGGGGAGGTGGGGGAGGTGGGGTGGAGGGGTGGCGAGAGGATAAGCGTAGGGGGTAAGGGAGCCGGGGGGAGGGGGAAAGGGAGGGAGAAGGAAAGGGGGAACGAGGACACGAGAGTGAGGGAAAGAGTGGGGAAAAAACAGAACATCGGGTCAAGGAATTTATAAGTCATTTCAAAGGGGAGACAACTAGGGCAGAATTCTTGAACGAAATTAAGAGCGGCATATTAAGGAGCGTACTATCTTGGGCGCGCGAGAATCTAGAACGAGTTTTCCCTTCCTCGTCGTCGCCCTCGAAGCTTTAAACATGGCTGCTGCTCGCTATATTCCCTGACCGTCAGAAGCTCCCGTGACCGTCAAATGTTCACGTGATTGTTAACGTATGGCACGCTACTGTGATTCTCTACGATTCTCTACGACTTTGCCTCCCGTGGCTGTCGGTTAAGGTCACTGTCGAGTCAACTCGAAGGTATGGCACGCTGCCTGTCAGTGTCTCACTTTTACATGCAGCTGTCGACTAAAGGTCTGGAAAAACAAACAGCGCTCGTTGAAATCTAAAGAATGGCGGTTTGGCACAAGGGGACGAGGTCTAGGACGTGAAGGTCGGGTTTTAGGTGGTTAGAATGTGGAGGGTTTGGTGAGGGTGGAGGTCCGGTATAGAATCTTACAGCGCGTACAAAAAAAATATGGCTGGTGTTTTCGTTATTGGTTATAAGTTGTTTGCGAAACTAAATGTGGTTGGTGGAGATATGCATTGGCGGAACTTCAAGATATTCACACAAATGAGTGTCCAGAATGACAGCAGAAATATCATTACCGCTTTCATTTCCTGCTTCAGTTCTATAACGCGAATGAAGATTTGAAAATTCGAACTGGCGATCCCCACCCCTTGGCTGCTCGATTTCGATGGAGGAAGCAACCAACACTTCACCCCATTTCCTTGTTTATTTCGACGCTTCCCTGGTATTGATCACTTTTGCCACGCTCTTCCTAGCCTCTCACTCAGCTTTTCGCTTGGGGCCGCGTGGATCTCCATCCTAGTTTTCCATTGTCCGGAGCGACTCGACTTTGAGTTATCGCATTTCTTTCGAATCTGTTGATACAGGACCGTTGACGCGTTTCCAGACGTCACAGTAACGCTCCCTGCTCAATCTACTTGGTCGTATAGCGCGTATACTAGCGCGCATAACGCGTATTGCAAATAACGCGTACATCCCAGTCTAGGCAGCTGGTGCGGCATCGCAGTCATGAGCGCCGTGACCATCACGCAAGTGAAGGTGCTCGACAACCCCGGGCCGTTCCTCTCGCCGCTCCGCCTCGAGATCTCCTACGACTGCATCCGGCCGTTGGAGGACGGTACGTGGGTCGCCAGGGTGCAGTGACTGGTGACTGATTCGGATGAGTGGCGAACGGTACTTGCGGTACAATGGAGCGACGAGTGCTGCGTGCCGTTAATTCGAAACACGTCAGTGCCTGCAGGCCCTGTATCCGGATTGTCTACCCCAAATAGTGTTTGCCCAGCCATAGTACCAAAAAATAGTATCGCCATTGAGTGCGACCAGTACTACATGGGATCGACGAGTGCTGCGCGCCAGCAGCCTCGAGATGCGGCAGCTCCGCGTGCACGCCGTTTTCCGTGCTCCTTTTTATCCCCTTTACAATACGTTAACCTTGGAATATGTCAGTGCATACACTGGTCCTTAAGTCTCCTTAGAAGCATGAACCTCGAAGTACGGCAGTCCGCATGTAGGCCCCGGAATTCCTTTCAAACTGACCAAGTTTTGGTGCTCTTGGAAGGTTCTGAAAACGCCATCTGGCCAAGCGTTGCATTCCTGGAGCGCCGTTTTTGCCTCATTCCCATCGCATCCACCTTTCCACAGGCTGGCAGAGACTGAGTCGATCGGGTATAAGGGGATCGGCCAACGACCTTGCGTACGACCACGTGCTAGAGAGCGTCATGGTCACCACCGTGAAACCACCTCATGCTACTGCACTCAACTCCTCCACACCCTTGTCTCTTCAGATTTGGAGTGGTCTATCGTGTATGTGGGATCGGCCAACGACCCGGCCTATGATCAGGTGCTGGAGAGCGTTTTGGTCGGCCCGGTCAACGTCGGCAGCTTCAGGTTCATCCTCGAAGTAAGCCTCCTCGATATATGCAGTATTTTTGCTTTTCACATAGCAGTTTGTCATTGGCTGCTAGCTCAGATCCATGATCATCGTTTCCTTGACTACAGGCATGCCCACTTGAAGTAGTTCTTTCGGCTCCTCAGTAATAGCCCCTGATGCATTGCTACCTCACTTGGATATCCATAGCCTCCTTCCTCACAGGCATACCCTCCTGAAGTGATCTTTGGGCCACCTCAAACAGCCACCCATGCTGCTTTTATTGCTCCCAAACGTCCCTATCCACTGCGTGCTTATCTGCAGGCAGACCCACCCGAAGTGTCCAAAATTGCGGAGGGCGAAATTTTAGGAGTCACCGTTCTGCTGCTCACATGCGCGTACCGAGACCAGAAGTTTATCCAAGTCGGATACTATGTCAATAACGAGTACGTAGACGAGCAGCTGCAGCAGGAACCCCCTCCCAAGGTCGTGTTCGATAAGCTATCGCGCAACATCTGGGCTGAAAAGCCCAGAGTGACCAAATTTGCCATCAACTGGGACCCTGTGGGAGGGTCGGGGTACGAGGGAGGCTCAGGGTGTGTGGGAGACGCGATGATGGAGGATGGAGATAGAGGGACCGGGTATGGTGGGGAAGGTGAGCATCGGAGGTTTGGTATTGGTTCAGAACCCGCCCCTTGGGTTCCGGGTGAATCAGCTGATGCCGCAGCAGCAGAAGCAAGAGATGAAGCAGTCACTGACGCAGCTGTTACCAAGGCAGTGGCTGGTTTAAGTGCCGGGGATGGAGCAGGAAATCTGCAAGTAGTGAGTGGTGCAGGGAGCACAAAAGCCACAGAGGGTGCAGAGGCTACAGAGGTAGCAGCAGCTGAGGCTGCAGCTGTGGGCCGGACTGAGATGGATGTAGCCTCGGAACCAGCATCCGGTGCAGGTTTGGAAAGTGGTTCGGGGGAAGGTGCTCCTGCAGTTGATGTCACGGGTGGTGAAGGTCAAGACAAAGGCGTGTGCGCGTCGGATATGCAAGATAGGGATGCAGAGGCTCTGTTTCAAGGCAGCCTGAGGGTGCAAGAGAGCTGCTGACTGTGTGAAGGGTGTAACATGAATGTATATTGTTCCCAGTAGAAGGCCAACACCAGCTCAATATGTTCACTGTTGAATGTACCAAAATTCTATTGTTCATTAGCGTATTGATTAACAGTTTATACATGATAGTTGGGAGGTGTTACAGTGTATCTGTCCATAAAGAAGACTAGATGTAGGCATGGTAAAACCAGTTGTTACTACGGTACGTTGGTTCGCTTTAGCATTTGCCTAACAGATGTGAGGACCTATATTTTTTCAACACAGAACTAGCACAAACCCACAATGACTAAGTTGTGTAATACTTGACAGACACTACAAGCAAACACTAAAACCTCCAACGGTACGAATCGCACCCCTCAGGCAGGCGAAGTTGGCCTTCATCGTCGTGCAACTTGTCGCAACCATAAGCGTTCAAAATCACCAGCAGCTTCAGCTCTCCCAGATCTTCGGGTAGAGCCTCTAGCTGTTTACAATCCTCCAAATCCAGGACCTGCAGCCTGCTGAGCCGCGAGAAGTTGGAAGGAAGAGAAGTGATGGCGGCCTGGTGGACCCTTAGCTCACAGAGGCAGGACAGCTGAGTGAGGGAAGCAGGGAGGTGTGTGAGAGATTGGCCGTCGGACAGAATCAACTTGCATAATTTGGTGAGCGCCATGAGTGAATCAGGGGATGAGGGCAGCTTGGGGGCCCTGATCTCCATGTATGTGAGCATCTGCAGGGCTGCAATGGTCGGTGGGAGTTCAGTCAACTCAGGCAAGAGTATTTCCAGCTGACGCAGCTCCTGCAATGTTGAGCTAGAAAAATCCGGAAGCTTCATGACTCCTGTACTTAAGATTGACAGGGTGCGGAGGCTAGGAAAGGCCGTTAACGGAAATGGGAAGTCCTCCTCCAAAGCCAAGTACAGCTTCAACTGCTCCAGAGAGGCAAGGCTTCTGGAGAGTGCGGAAGGGAAACCCACCATGTACAGGCTTGCTTGTTTCAAGCATGGAAGATGATAGGCACCTGGGAGACAGGTGACTTGATGCAAACACCCTATGCTGAGAGCTTCTAGCGAGCCGGGCAAGAGCTCTGGCGCGTTCCTCAGCAACCCACAGCCGGTCAGCTCCAACTGCTTCAGCCTTGTCAGGTTCACAAGACACTTAGGCACTGAAAACAGGCTGCTGCAGTTGTCAACCTTGAGAATTTCGAGGCCCAGGAGGGCTGAAACGGAGTCGGGAAGCTTCTGGATGTGCGAGCAGGATTGGATGTAGAGCTCCCGCAGGCTTCTTAGCTCCCCCATCGCCTCTGGGAGCTCCGCCAATGCGCAGTCCTGAAGCTCAAGCCTTGTCAACGAAGCTAGGTGGGTGAAGGAGGATGGGAGCAGATGGCGTTGCTGGTACGATTTCAGGAAAAGAGTCTGCAGGTTGGTGAGTTGGCCAATGTCATGAGGAAGGATCAGAGAAGGTGAGCCCGCAAAGCACAGCGTCTTGAGCGCAGTGAGAGCGCCGAACCCTTCAGGTAACTCGCGTAGATGTGCGCAGTCTGTGACTAACAGCGTCTCTAGAGTCTTGAGCTGGCTGCACGAGGCAGGGAGGTCGACATTCAGCTTGTGCAGCACGAGCGTTTTCAGCGCAGAGAGCTCGCCAAAATCATGAGGCAGGCCGACCAAACTGCAGTCGGAGAGCTTCAGGCTGCGCAGGTTGGTCAAGGAGGTGAGCTGCTCTGGCTGCTCGAGAAACGACCTGCACCCGCTGATGGTGAGCTCGCGGAGACACGGCAGGCGGTCCTCCAAGTCGTGTGGGAGAGCGGCGAGCTCATGGCAGCGGTTGAGCGTGAGGCGTTCGAGCAGGCTGCAGGGCGATTCTGAGGGAAACATGACGTCGAACGGCGGACAGCTGTCACCCAGGTTCAGCGACTTGAGCGACGGCAGATGCGCGAATGAGAACGGAGGAGAAGGCAGCGGCCTTGGTTGAAACTGAGAGATCCTTTCCGACAAGGAGAGATGGGTGAGGCTTGGGAACGAAGCAAGGATATGCAGATCCTGGAACCAGATCGCCGCGCTGAGGGAGAGAGCGGTGAGAGAAGATAGATTCTTGAGTCCGGGAGCCGACAACGCCGACCGATCGGCGATCGCGAGCGAGCGGAGGTGCATGAGCTGATAGAAGGAAGGTGGGAGCACGAGACAACTGGAGAGGCAGCCCAGCGATAGATGCTCCAGCCGCGTGCACCGGCGGAAGAAAACATCCAAGCCAGCTCCGGTCAGCAACCTCTGGCCCTCCTCCTCCTCCTCCTCGTCCAGGTTCTGCTCTATCCCTCCCCCGACGTGAAAAGCTGTCAGATTAGGGCACGATGCGGCGACGCGAGCGAGAAAGGCGTCGTCGATGGTCTCCAGGCAGCTGTCGTTGAGATGAAGGTGTGTTAGGTTTGGGAAGCGGTTCAGAGCGGTAGCGAGATCCTCGCGAGAGACGCCGCGTCTTTCCTTAACGAGAAGCGTCGTGACGTGGCGCTCAGCTAGGCGACGCCAGCGACGGCACACTGACGCGACGAGGAGGTTATAAGCGGCGTCGGCGAAAGCTGGGGGTAGAGTCGGGTTCGGAAACAAGGGTTCGCTCTGCTGGTACGATGGCTCGTCGGCATTTTCGCGAATAAACCGCGGGGTAGGCCACACGGACGCCCACACATTGTCATCGTCGGACTGGCGGGAGAAGAGACGCTTGGACGGCCAGAATATCGCAACAAGGAGCTCGTCTGGAAGGTTGTTGATTTGCAAACACGTCATGACTTGGCTTTCAGTCATGCTAGGAAATTTGGAGAGTGGAGAGGAATCGGGTGCGCTCCTGCCTAGAAAAATATCAAACTCTGACAAATTGTACAATCTGCCGCGATTGAAAATGGTGGCTTCTGTCTTGGCGCTGCGTCTCTGCGTCCACCTCTGCTTGCTGTTGCTCTCTGCTGTGCTCTTTCTCTCTTCTCCCTCCTCTCTCTGCTCTTCCCTTGCCTTGGTTCTTTCTGTTCCGCCTCGTTACTCTCCTCTCACGTATGTGAGTTGCGCAGTTCACCTCCATCGCTGCTCGCTCTCCGGCTGTGGTGTGGTTTCGAACCTGGAGGGTAGTCCACTATAGTGACGAAGAAGCTGGGGTTTTGTTTCAAAATGCTTCCGAGTCTTGTGAAGGGTTCCAAAATTCCCAACCTGCAAGTTTGGCGGTGTGTGGTGGTGGTTTGGTGTGATCGGAAGTTAGCAACTTGCGGGATCCGAAGACTGAACGAAAACTCACAGCTTTGTTGTGATTTGCGACTCCAAACAATCGGCTGAACCCAGTTCGGCCATTTTCAGATGCATGCAACTTAGACTGGGAAATGTATTCAAGTGCATGCCATGTTATTCCGCAGGTGTGTACACTTTACGCAGCTTAGAAATTTGTTATCATGATAGGGCGCGCTTACCAAGATTCGTTTCGAATTAGCCCAAACAGTCGAGAATAGATGCGGTTACGGATTACGCAAAGCGAAATCGGGAATGGTTGGCTTTCGATTCAACATTTTCTGACGTCACCAGAAGCAATCATTGCATGTTTGCCCAATTTCGACGCGGATTTCTGCTTCGCCCCAATTCTTCTTGAACAAACTTAAATGCTAGATCAGCTGTACTTTTGACACAGGCGACGAGCGCTGCGCATGGCAAATCAACATTTTTTTCTTGGGAAATCAACAAATTTCTAAGCTGCGTAAAGTGTACACACCTGCGGAATAACATGGCATGCACTTGAATACATTTCCCAGGCTAAGTTGCATGCACCTGAAAATGGCCGAACCCAGTTGCTCAAACTCTGGCAATTCCTAGAATCTGGGACTGCCCGTATGGAACCCAAGGGAACGGAGAGCTGGAGCCAATAAGAGGTTCTCGTGCATTGCTAGGATTGGCGGACCGCGTTGATCCCAAACACCCTTCATTCCCCACCACAAATGTCCCTCAGTCAGGTACCCAAAACCTTGCTAAATAGGGCTTGTTTTTGTACGATCTGTTGTCGGACAGGTCATGACACTCTCGTTGGAATTCAACGCGAAAATAAAGGACATGAATCATGATCCTCCCCATGCCTTCGTTGGGCGTGGCGAACGGGGCCATTTTGTAACGCACCTCCGTCAGGCAAATACGCCCGAAGATGCTTCTGAAGTGAACATACTTGCATCCTTCGCCTGCTTGCTCTCTCCTCTCCCTTCCCAGCTCATCAGTGCATCAGCTCACCTTGTTCACTCATCAGACCGCCCTGCGCATCGCACAGGTGAAACCAAGGATACCCTACACATGCGCCTACGACCTCCGCTTTCTCCTCGACTGACGTTTCGCGAGAGCTGGAACGAGAACCGTGTACTTTGTTTCGCTGCAAAGCCAGAGTCGAGTTATCCATTTGTATTCTCTGTCCCATAGCTACAAACACTTGAAACCCCCGGCGAACCTAAAAAGCCGAGGCGAGCTCGTTTGTGAGACCACGTTACGTTGTTCGCTCGAACCCTTTAGTGACGCTTCGACAATCGTCGCACGGCGATCATGGACGGCAGAGGCCAGTCTTCGGACGCTCCCAGGCGTCGCAGAAGCTTCGACGGAATTCTTCGCGAGCAGGCCACGGCGGCTCCCAGGATCGCGCCCGCCGCTGTCGCCGGCTCCGATGGCGGCCTGCGACGGCGACAGATAGGCAGACAGCCGCAGCAATCGTCGCAGCAGCCGTCGCAGCAGCAGCGCCGCCAGGAGCAGCAGCAACAACAACGAGGAGCGGACAGAAAAAGCGGAGACAAAGCAGACAAGGGCGACAAGGTCGGGGAAAAGAGCGGGAAATTCGAGAGGAGCGAGAGCAGGAGGAGCGGACGGTGGGGGTGCATCGACTCGTGCTGCTGGACCATGGGCAACGCCGTCTTCCTCTGGTTCCTGCTCATGCTCGCCTATCACCTCATGCCACGTCAGCAGATCCAGGCCATCCAGGACGCGCTCGTGGGGCTCCCCGAGGTGGAGCCGCCCGGCGCGCGGCTGGCGGGGGAAGGCGTGAAGGCGAAGCACCCCGTGGTGTTCGTTCCGGGGATAGTCACAGGTGGGTATAGTCACAGCTCGGTCTCGTCATTTCTAAAAGGCGGAACCGCGCTCCCTCTCGCCCCTTCACTAACGTCTTGTTCATAAGTTCTCAGCCTTTTCCCCCCTTCCCCCTTTCCCCCACTCCGCTCCTTTCCCCCCTTCCCCCTTTTCCCCAGTCCCACCTTCCCCGCCTTCTCCCGTTTCCCCTTTTTTTCCCCGTCCCCCCTTCCCCCGCTTCCCGTCCTTTCCCTCCCTTCCTCCCTCGCTGAATCTCCATGCTCTCTTACTCTACCTCCCTTCCCCTCACATTGTCTGCGTGCGTTCTCACCCCCCTCCTTCTCACCCCCTTCCTTCTCACCTGCGTGCTCGGGGGCTGTACGGAGCATGGTTGCGTGTCGCTGCCCTGATGGTTGCGGGAAATCGCCTTTCCGTTTTCAACACGCACCTTTCCCCTCCTTCCCTCACCCTCCTTTTTTCCCCTACCGGCACCCACCTTTAACCCTCCCTCTCTCCCCTCCTCCTCCCTCTCTCCCTCCTCCTCCCTGTCCCCACTCCTCTTCGCTCTCCCCTTCCTCCTCCTTCCCCGCCCCTCCCTCCCGCCCCTCCTCCTCCCTCCCGCCCGTCCCCATTCATCTCTCCCCGCTCGCTCACCCCCCTGTTTCCCCCTCTCCCCCGTTTCGCCTCTCTCCTCCCCAGGCGGGCTGGAGCTGTGGGAGGGGCGGCCGTGTGCGGCGGACCTTTTCAGGAAGAGGCTGTGGGGGGGAACCTTCGGGGATGCTTACCGAAGGTGCGCGGTGTTAAGACTAAGTCAAGAGAATAGTGGTGAGATTAGGTCAAGGTTGGGGTACAAGACTAGAGTGTCGAGAAAGTTTCTGTACCCCCTAGTGCTAAACCCCATACAGCCTAGATAACCTAAACACGTATATATATATATAGGCGAAATGGGGGATAGCCAGAGCAAGCAAAGGTCACAAGACCAGTCAAGAGAAGAAACAAAACACAGCTCAGGGTGGATCACAACGTCACCACGGAGTCTGAGCACAAGCAAAAGGCCACAAGGCCAGTTCACATGCAGAGATATATACGTAACAACAACAACACAGTGATCTCTACCTACCAGAGCAAGCATGCAGGTATATATATAGATCACAGTACAAACAAAGCCTACAGCAAGTGAGGAAACGTGGGCACAAGGCCTAACAAAGTGCAGAAACGCTGATGATCACCAGACGGAAGCGCCTTGGTGAATATATCAGCAGTGTTGGCCCGAGTGGCCACGTAAGCAAGACGAAGCTGACCACGCTGTTGTAGCTCTCGAGCAAGGAAGTAACGCAGAGCGATGTGCTTCGTTCTGTGCTCCAGTCTGTGCTCCTGACACAAGGCAATGGCGGCCTTGTTGTCGACGTACAGCACTGGAGGAGAACGAGGCCTCTCTCCCAAGTCGGTCAGCAGGTAGGTGAGCCAGCGTAACTCCTGTGCAGCCATGGCTGTGGCGTAGATCTCAGCCTCACAACTGGAGCTGAGAACTGAAGACGAGCGTGTAGAACGCCAAGAAACCGAACCTAGAGCCAAGACTGAAGGTGTAACCCTGTGACGACCGCTGTGTAGCCTGGTCGTCAACCCAAGAAGCGTCTGAGTGCCCAGTGAGAACAACGTCGCTCCGTCCTCCAAGCACGAGCCCCATGCCCGATGTACTGCACAAGTAGCGTAGTAACCTCTTAGCAGCATCCATGTGCACCTTTCGGTGCCGACCAGGAGCCACGTAGCGAGCCAGAAGGCCAAGAGGGTACGCAAGGTCAGGACGAGTGCAGGTCATCAGGTACATGAGGCAGCCCACTAGCTCTGGGTAAGGACCACTCGGCTCTACGGACTCGTCCGAAGGTGGAGCTGAGAGCAAGTGACCTGTAGCCAGAGGAGTGGGCTGTGCCGAGGACCAGGTGAAGCCGAAGCGCTGAAGGACCTGCTGCACCATGTGTGACTGAGTCAGTGTGATGGTGCGGCGTGCTCTGTCCCGGGTGATCCGCAAGCCAAGATAGCTTGTCAGCTCACCTAGGTCTGTGCACGTGTGTCTCTTCTGCAGCTCCGACTTCACCAGGGCGAGTGCCTCAGTGTCAGCAGTGGCAAAGACCAAGTCGTCGACGTACACGAGGATGTAGAACGACGGCAGTGAGGTGTCGGTGCGCAGAAACAGCGACGGGTCAGCAGTCGACGGAGAAAACCCAAGAGCCGCAAGTGTCGTCCTCAGTGTGTCGTGCCACTCACGCGGCGCCTGGCGGAGTCCGTAGACCGGCCGCCGGAGGCTCCACTGGGTACCAGGAGGGAACGACCCAGTGAAGCCAGGTGGGCGGCGCAGCCAGATCTCCTCGTGCAGGCTGCCCTGTAAGAAAGCTGTGCTGAAGTCAAGAGAGTGAAGCTCGTAGTCACGCTGGGCGGCAACGTGCAGCAGCACCCGAAGAGTGGTCATCTTCGGGGTGGGGGAGAAGGTCTGGAAGAAGTCAACCCCCTCTCGCTGACTGAAACCTCGAGCAACGTAACGAGCCTTGAAGACAGGCGGAGAACCTGGCGGCCGCTTCACCCTGAAAATCCACATGCCACTGACGATGTTCGCCCCAGGAGGGGGAACGTCGTCGACGTAGGTGCCTGTGGACTTCCAGGATGCCATCTCTGCATCCATGGCTGTCTGCCACTGAGAGGAGTACTCATCCGCGATCGCCTCAGCGTAAGAGCGCGGGGTCGGGATGTCTGGTGCATCCGGGTCTCCCTCAGGGGCAAGCAGCATGGACACAAGATGAGGTGCAGCGGCTGCAAAACACTCAAGGTCCTCGTGCCTGTCCTCAAGGACGTACGTGCCAAGAGCACACTCACCCGCGACGGACGGAGGACAGACAGACTCAGACTCAACAACAAGACTAGCAGCGTAGTCTAGACGACAGGCAGCAGCAAAGTCAACAAGCTCAGCGACTAAGGCAGACGCAGTAGTAGACTCAAACGACGGGTCAGTGACAACAGTGGCTAGCAGACGTGTGACAGTAGGGTGCTCAGCACGAAACCGGTCAGACTCAGGGTCTGGAACATTAGGCAGAGAAGATTCCGGAGGGGACAGCAAAGGAACACGCTGCGGAGGAGAGGAAGGACGACGGACTACAAGGGAAGGACCGGGGACAGCCGGCGGACGCTGACGAGGAACACGACGACTGGAACGACCAGAACGGACAGGTGAGACAGGACGCGACGCAGGCTCACGACGCTCAGCAAAGCCCCCTGTCTGCTCAGCGTAAGGAGAAGGAGCAGGCAGAGGTGAGCCAGGCTGTAACGGAAGACCAGTAGACGACGGGAGGCTAAGAACCTGGCGAAGTACGGAGTCAGGCGGTGGCAGAGACGACGGAGACGGTGGAGCAAAGAACAGGCGCGGCTGTGCAGTGCCACCAGCACCAGCACCCTCAGCAGCTCCAGCACCTCCTGCAGCTCCAGCACCCTCAGCAGCTCCAGCACCTCCAGCAGCTCCAGCACCCTCAGCAGCTCCAGCACCCTCAGCAGCTCCAGCACCTCCAGCAGCTCCAGCAGCTCCAGTACCCTCAGCAGCTCTAGCACCCTTAGCAGCACCCCCAGAACCAGCACCTCCAGTCCCAGGGTCTCCAGCCCCCGTGTCTACAGCAACAGCACCCCCAGACCCAGGGTCTCCAGCAGTAGCAACCTCAGGCTCAGCAGTACCTCCAGCCCCAGCAGCTCCAGCACCTCCAGTGCGAGCACCTCCGGGACCAGCACCACTCCCAGCTCCAGTGGTGTCAGCAGAAGTACCTCCAGCGGCAGAGCCCCGAGCTCCAGAAGCACGACCCTGACGGCGACCGTACCAGTCGTGCAGCTGCTGTGAGGTGAGAGGCACACGCGTACGAAGGCGGCTACTCCAAGGAGACCGCTCAAGAGCAGACTCAGAACCCTCAGGCGTCGCACCCCCAGACTCAGCACCCCCAGGCTCAGGACCTCCAGGCTCCTCACGCTCAGGCTCAGCACCCCGAGACTCCGCACCCCCCGGCTCAGCACCCTCAAGCTCTGCACCCCCAGGCTCAGCACCCCCAAGCTCCGCACCCCCAGGCTCAGCACCCCCAAGCTCCGCACCCCCAGGCTCAGCACCCCCAAAGACAGCACCACCCCCAGTAGGACCTGAGTCACCAGTGACCTCAACAGGCGCAGGCACGGGAGGGTCTACCTGAGAAACACCTGAAGGAGCAGGACCTGGCGCGGGGAGGGGGTCTACCTGGGGAGGACCTGGGGCGAGAAAGAGCGGCGGGGGGGGGCGAGGAGCAGTGCGGTAGGGTTAGCGCGCAACTACAGCGTCGTACAGTGTCTTAGCAGTTTTGTGCTGGCTGAAATGCGCGCGCTCAGTGATCGGCAGATGGTTCCTAATAGCTAGGCGAGCAGCAGCATCGCGAGTCTGCCACTGCGAGCGTTCGAGAGGAGGAGCATCGGCAGCAGGAGCAACGGCAGTGCCAGACACGTAATCGAACAGTGAAACGCCCTCTTTGGCATCGGTCAGAAGGAACAGTTGCAGGTCGTCTAGCCACACAGCGAACTCTATGGGGCGACCGTCAGGTTCGAACGCGAGAACATTAGGCGTCGTCATAACGGCAGCAGGCAAAGGCAGCAGAAAGCAGGCAGGCAGTAGACACGAGGCAGTAGGTAGTAGGCAGCAGGCTAAGACAGAGGCAGTAGGCAGTAGGCAGTACAGGCAACGTGCAGGGCAGGAGCTTGCTGCACTCGAGCTCCTAAGGTGGCGCTCTAGACAGTAGGAGGCCGAACCGTAGGTAGCGGGCTAGGTAGCAGTGAGCCTCACATGCAGGTACACGAGTAGGGCACGTGCGGCTGCTGGCTGCGTGCGGCTGAGGGCTGCGCGCGGCTCTCTGCTGCGCGTGGCTACGTGCTGCGCGCGGCTCCTGGCTGCACGTGGCGACTGGCTGCGTGCGGCTCCTGGCTGCGCGTGGCGACGGGCAGCGCGCGCTGCTGCGGGCTGCGTGCGGCGACGGGCCTAAGCAGGCTGCGCGCGGGCGGCGTAAGGGGCGCGCGGGCTCTACGCGGGCTGCGCGCGGCTCTGCAGCAGTCGCGCGCGCTAAAAACAGTGACGCGCGCGCTAGAAAACGAGGCGCGCGCGGAAAAAAACGTGACTCGCGCTGCAGCCGAGGCGCGCGCGGGCAGTAGGCAAGGCAGGCAGGTGGTAACACAGTTAGGTGGGCCCGATTCTTAGGTCCTAGAGACCTCCTGCTCTAGTTACCATGTTAAGACTAAGTCAAGAGAATAGTGGTGAGATTAGGTCAAGGTTGGGGTACAAGACTAGAGTGTCGAGAAAGTTTCTGTACCCCCTAGTGCTAACCCCCATACAGCCTAGATAACCTAAACACATATATATATAATTTGACACGCGGGCTCACAGGGAGGATGTGGTGTGTTGCGGAGGATGTGATGAGAGTGTTTGTGTGGGTGGTGAAGAGGGTGTGGGTGGTGAAGAGGGTGTGTGTGTGGGGGAGGGGGGGCGTGATTTCTGTGGCCGGTGGTTGTTGACTTTTCCACACAGTTTCCTTTCATTCGTCTCCCCCCAGGCCTGGCCATTGGATGGAGCACATGTTGTTAGACAACGAGGCTGGCCTGTCAACGAGGCAGGCCTATCAACGACACAGGCCTGGACCTCCGGGGTACATGAGCGCCCTGTGTGAGGCCTTGTAGCAGCGGATTACTTCCCACCCACATACTTTGTGTCGGCGCTCATCATCGAACCTCCCTTCACTCCCACCCTCCTTCCCCGCTCCCCTCTCCCTCCCCCTTACCCCTCGCTTCTCGATTCCCCCGCCCCAGGCCTGGCCATTGGATGGGCACATGTTGTTAGACAACGAGACAGGGTTAGTAGACCCTCCGGGAATCAGGGTGCGGCCGGTGTCAGGGCTGGTGGGAGCGGACTACTTCCTGCCGGGGTACTTTGTGTGGGCGGGCGGTCATCATTTAACCTTTCCTCACTCCAACCCTTGTCCCCTTTCGTCTCTACCTCCTCCTCCTCCCCAGGCCCGGCTGTTGGATGGAGCACATGTTGTTAGATAACGAGACAGGCCTGGACCCTCCTGGTATTCGCGTACGGCCGGTGTCAGGGCTGGTGGCAGCGGATTACTTCTTACCCGGGTACTTTGTGTGGGCGGTGATCATCGAGCAGCTGGCCAAGATCGGCTACGAGGAGCGGAACATGTTCATGGCTGCTTATGACTGGCGCCTCTCGTTTTATAACACGCAGGTGCGTGTGCATGTGTGTGTGTGTGTGTGTGCGCGCGCGTGTGCGCGCGCGCTCGCGCGTGTATGCATTCGTGTTCTTGTTTTCGTGAGGGACTTCTATCCAATCTGCATATCCGTCGCCCCCAGTCCCATCGTACACCCATGTACAGAGACCTGACCTGTATGTCCCTCGCCCCCCTCGCCCCCCTCGCCCAACACACCCCCCCATGCAACCATGTGCAGAAGAGGGATCAAACGCTCAGTCGCCTCAAGGCCACCATTGAAATGCTTGTGAAGGTATGCTCGTGCTGCAGGTACGCCCGTGCCATGTTTTGTGCCATGTAGTGTGCCATGTGGTGTGCCATGTGGTGTGCCATGTGGTGTGCCATGTGGTGTGCCATGTGGTGTGCCATGTGGTGTGCCATGTGGTGTGCCATGTGGTGTGCCATGTGGTGTACCATGTGGTGTACCATGTGGTGTACCATGTAGTGTGCCATGTGGTGTACCATGTGGTGTGCCATGTGGTGTGCCATGTGGTGTGCCATGTGGTGTGCCATGTGGTGTACCATGTGGTGTACCATGTGGTGTGCCATGTGCCATTCGGTGTGCCAAGAGGGTGCCGCACGCCGTTAGGGTTCTATACTTCCGTTTATTCACTTCTCAGTCCTTGGCGCATCACCCTTTTCCTGCATCACCCATTGCCCACATCTCTCACCCCCACTTTCTCCTTCCCCCTTTTTTTCAGACCTACGGGGGAAGGAAGGCAGTGATGGTGCGTCACTTCATCGGTATGCTCTACTCCAGGCCCCTTCTTCCATCCTCTCCTCGTCTCACCCCTTGGCACATCTCCCTTTACCTCCACCTTCCTACAGACCAACGAGGGCAGGAAGGCAGTGTCTACTTTCTTCTCTTCATCATGTGGCTCGAAGCACGGCCGGGGGAAGGGGGGGGGGGGGGGGGTGCTTCACTCCATGAGAGTGCTCGTCTGTCCTCCCCTCCCTCCGTCAACTCCCCTCTCACCCCCTTCCCACCTCTTTCCTGCACTTGCTATCCTTCTCCTATCAGACCAAAGGGGGCAGGAAGGCGGTGGTAGTCCCTCCCTCACTCCATGGGCGTGCTCTACCTCCTCTCCTTCTTTCTCCTACCTCCTCATGTCCCACGTTCCCTCCCGTCCTCCCACACTCTCTTATCGTCTGCAGACCAACGAGGGCAAGAAAGCCGTGGTAGTGCCGCACTCCATGGGAGTGCTCTATTTCCTCTTCTTCATGAAGTGGGTCGAAGCACCCGCGCCCCTGGGAGGGGGAGGGGGCCCGCGGTGGGTGCACGATCACATCCGAGCCGTCTTCAACATTGGAGGGCCGCTTCTGGGCGCACCCAAGGCGTTCACTGGACTCTTCTCTGCAGAAGCTAAAGATGTAGCGGCTATCAGGTGAGGAGGTTGCAACCAACAACAGCAGTAGGAGAGGAGTGGGAGAGAGCCCGCGGTGGGTGTGCGATTACATCCGAGCAGTTTTCAACATCGGCGGGCCGCTCCTGGGCGCTCCCGAGGCCTTCACTGGACTGTTTTCGGCAGAATCTAAGGACGTGGCGGCTATCAGGTGAGAAGGGTGTTAGAATACTCCTATTCTTGTATCATGCATAGATTAGCAAGTCTTGGATAGTTATAAGCACCCAGGTTTAGCTCGGGTGTAGAACCAGGGTTTGCCCCAATTGAGGGGTTGGGCCAACCCAACCTTGGTCCAATATTGTGACCCACCAATAATTGAGCTCCCCATCATTGGAGGTTCAGTATTTGTGGTCCTTCAACACAATCATTGACCCCTCCCATAATTGGTGACCCCTCCAACTTATTGGAGGCGTTCACCGGACTCTTTTTGGCAGAAGCCAAGGATGTAGCAGTGATCAGGTGAGAAGGCTCGTCTTTTTGCTCCGCATGCGTGCATCTGCCCTGCCTAGCAGAGTGCTGCACCTGGGCGTGCTTGACAGCCTGCATGCTCCTACTTTTCACCCCCTTGCCACCGCTTTGCGCTTCCCCCCCTTCCCCCCCCCTCCCTCACTCTTTCGCCCTCTTTGATCAGGGAACTAGATCCGGGGGTGTTTGAGCGCCTGCAGGCATGGCATCCGTTTTCATTCCAACCCTTGTGCATGTGTCTCCCCACCTTTCCCCCTATCCAGGGCGCTAGATCCAGGCGTGTTTGGGAGCCTGCAGGCGCTGCAGCATGTGATGCGGGTGTCGCGCACATGGGATGCGACCATGAGCATGCTGCCCAAGGGGGGCGAGGCCGTGTGGGGCAACGCCACGTGGGCGCCCGAGGACTCCTTCAACTGCTCCAAGGCACGGGCCAAGCAGCTGCACCTGCAGCAGCAGCAGGCGGGGGAGAGTGGGGGGAATAGCTCCAAGGCAGGGGGGGATGGCAGGGCGAAAGGGGCGAGCAAGGGGTTGGGAGTGGAAGGGTTTTTGCGCACGCTGATGGCAGAAGGGGCGTCATCCTCTGCCTCCTCGGCCTCCTTAGGGTCGTCTTCCTCCTCCTCCTCCTCTGCTTCTTCCCCCTCCACTGCTGGCGCTCACTCAGAGGGGAGTGGCAACGAGGGGGAGGAAGATGAAGCAAAGGCAACTGCAAGGAGCTACGACCTTGAGACGAGCGAGCGGCGGGCGTGGTTTGGACGCATGGTGAGCAATTATGTATCCGCACATCCATTTGTGTGTTTGTATCACGTTCTCTATGTTTCCCTGCACAGCATTTTTGGTCTTGATTTGCTTGACTTGTCTTGGACGAAACCATTTTGGTTTCAAAGATCTGGGCAGCCACGCTCTTCATCTTCCTAAGCCCCCCTCTCTTCATCCTCTTCCTGCAGGTGTCCTTTGGAGCAGCATCAACCACTTTATACGAGTCCTTGGTATGCCCCTCAGGCGCCAAGGCAGCAGCACTCATGTACTCCTATCCCCCCCTCGCTCTACCCCTTCCTCCCCTCCCCTTCAGGTGTCATTTGGAGAAGCATCAGCCACGCTCTCGGAGTCCCTCGTGTGCCCCTCGGGCGCCAAGGCTGCAGCCAGGGCAGCAGCAGCCACGTGCCCTGCCGCCTCCACATGCCCTGCCACGTGGGGCGGGCAGCAGTACGTTCTCTCCGACCCCTGTAGCTGTGCCATGCGCGATTTACTGCCCGAGGGCGATGACGAGTACAGTGACGGGACTGCTTATAAAGGGGAAGAGGGGGAGGGGGGGGTGGGTGCCGGAGGGGAGAAGGGGGAGAAAGGGGAGAAGGAGGAGGCAGAAGGGAAGGAAGGGAAGGCTCCTGAGAGGGAGAGTCGGCGCAAGCAGTGGCAGCGGCAGCTGGAGGAGACAGTGTTTCAGCACCTGCAGTCGCGCAACAAGTCGTGCGGCGAGGTGTGGACAGAGTACCACGACATGAGCTGGCACGCCCTCACTGACATCGCCAACTGCCCCTTCTACACCGCGGGCGACGAGAGCGACGGGCCGTCGGGGGGCATTCTGGGGCTGCTGAGACAGGTGGCGCCCAAGACGATGGCGCGGGCGGATGAGAACTGGAGCTATGGGATTGCGGAGGATCTGAGTGAGCGGAAGTATGCTGAGGAGCCGAAATACTGGGCGAACCCCCTGGAGACCAGGTGCGTGTGGGGGAGTGATTGAGGTGCATTGGGTGCGGAGAAGAGGAGAGAGCATGCGTGTGCATGGGAGGATTTGAGACAAGTGTGCTGAGCATTCGAGCATTTGTGGGGGCGCTGAGGAGACCAGATACTGTGCGGACCCACTAGAGAGTAGGTGCGCGTACGACCTCTCCCGTGCACTCCTGCCTCATCCATAACCCCCCTCCATGCGTACCCCCTGTCTCCCCGCTCTCCCCCCCCCAGCCTGCCAGACGCCCCGGAAATGGAGGTGTACTGCGCGTACGGCACGGGGCTGCTGACAGAGAGGGCGTACGTGTACCGCCTGTCGCCCTCCAACGACACCTGCCTCATCCCCTTCCGCATCGATGCCTCTGCCAATGGGCCGCCTGGCCAGGTGGGTGGCACGTGGGACAGGTGCATGTGGGTGGGTGGGCTGGTGGCTTGTGGACAGGTAGCAATCTGTGGCAGGTGCATGTTGTGAGTCAGAGGCATGTGGGCCACTGGCATGTGGGCCAGTGGCATACGGGTTGGCAGCACGTGGGGCATGGCTCAACAACACGAGGGGCCATGTGAGTAACAGCCACACCTTTCTCACACCACATACCCCAAACTCACCACAGAGGCCATCCCCCCACAACCCCTCCTTTTGCCCCCCGCCTCTCTTCTGTGCAATTCACCTCTTCAATCCTACTTTATCCCCTCGTCAAATCCCCACTTTCCCGCCGTCCCACCCTTCAGGCGGGGGACTGTCTGACAGAGGGGGCATACTTCACGGACGGAGACGAGACAGCGCCCGTGCTCTCCATGGGGCTGCCGTGCGCCAAGCTGTGGCGCGGCCGCACGCGCTTCAACCCCGCCGCCTCGCCCACCTTCCTGAGGGAGTACGAGCACCGCCCCACCTCGGGGCTGCTGGCAGGCAGGAGCACGCAGAGCGGCAGCCACGTGGACATCATGGGTAACTTTGCGCTGATCGAGGATATTCTGCGGGTTGCCGCTGGTGCCACGGGGGCGGAGATTGGCGGGGATCAGATTTATTCGGATATATTGCGCTGGGCCGAACGGGTTAGTATAAAATTGTAGGAGACGACTTGGCGGCGGTGCGCTCTGACGTTTGTAGCATTATACGGTACCTAGTGTTTGCTGTGCAGTGTAGTATCTATCGCTTCACTCCATTGCGAAGGTACTTGTAAGCTTGCCCACCCCTTCAGCTAGTCTGTGTTGGTCTGAAAAGGCCCTTAGGATCTTTTACAGGGGTGAACTCTGGGTAGAGTTGGTGTAATAGCGGAAGCGTCAATTAAAGAGTTGTGAACCACCTTGCGCTAGTATGTGAGGGCAAAGTAGATTGATTGAAACAAAGAGATACAAGAATATATATAAGAGTACAAGGAATACGAAGAGGTACGGTTGTAACTACTTTACTGTTGCTGTTGCGGTTCGATACAGTGACGACTCGGGCAACTGCTCTGTAGCGAGTCAGTTGTGTGTCCTTGCTGTCGCGCTCTATTCGTCAGGTCAAAGGTCGCTGACCTTTGACTTCCCCGTAACCTCCAGCGGTTGCTTCAACCTCCGAGGGTTGACTCGCTGGTGCCTCGATTTACTTTGCTTCGCTTGTGTCTTGGTGTTTCGACACGACAGAGGCGCTTAAGACCGATTGTTTCCAACACTCCCCTTCGCTTCTGGAGTGTCGCTGCTGGTGACGTGGCTCTGTCCAGTCAGCAGCATGCAGTACTCAAACTTCTGCTTTCCAAGCTTATTGGTCAGGTAGTCAGCTGCCATCTCGGACGTGGGGCAGTATGACAGCTCGAGTCTCCCTTTCTCGATCTCGTCCTTCACGAAGAAATATCGCAGGGCGATGTGTTTCGTCCTGTTCGCGAAGCCGCTTTTGTTGGCGATGCGAATTGCCGACTGGTTGTCGCAGAACAGAGTGAAGCTGGGTAACTGAGCTAGCTTCACTTCTTCCAGCAGTTCGCGAAGGTAAAGTCCTTCCTTGGTGGCTGAACAAAGTGCAATATATTCTGCTTCGGCTGACGAGAGAGCTATTAATTCCTGCTTGCTCGACTGCCAAGAGATAGGTCCGATAGGTTCGAGGCGGTAGATGTAGCCAGTGCGAGAACGCCTGTTGTCGGGATCGCCAGCGTGATCGGCGTCGACGTAGCCGATTAACTTAGGCGGCGTAGTTGCGTTCTTGTAATAAGTTAAGCCGATCGTTGAGGTGCTGACGAAGTAGTGAAGAGCGCGGTCGAGCTCCGCCAGGTGTTCTGCTTCAGGTTTCTTGAGGTGGGTGGCGAGCTGGCTTGCGGAGTATGAGAGGTCGGGGCGGCAAGTGACAGCTGCGAAGAGAAGACATCCCAGCTTCTTCTGGTAGTCTCGTATGCCGGCGGGCTTGAGTAGAGCGGAGCTTCCTTTGCCGTTCCCTGCCGTGTAGCGGTATGGCGTGGAGATGGCTGTCGGTGTGAGTGCAAAGCGTTTGGCGATAGTATCGGCGTATTTCTCGGCGCTGAGGTAGATCGCGTCTTTCTCTTCCCGGATGTTGAGGCCGAGGTACTGAGTGACGGCAGATGAAACCGTGAGCGTGAGATCTTGCTGCAGCTCCCCTTCGAACCAGGTAGTGATGTCGTCAGTTGAGCCGATGTAGAGAAGATCGTCCACGTAGACGATCAGCAGGATGTAGTCTGCGCCTTTCGTGAGCCGGTACATTCCCTGATCGTGAGGTAATTGCTTGAAGCCGATGCGGATGAGGCGGGCGTGCAGGTACTGCTGCCATAGCCGTGGAGCTTGCTTGATCCCGTAGAGTGACTTCAGCAGTTGACAGACCAGGTTCGGCTCCCCGTTGGTACCGTGCGGTAGTTCCACGAAGATTTCTGCGTCAACGGGTGCGTAGAGAAAGGCGTTCGCGACATCGATTTGCCGTAGCTTCTTTTTCTTCATGGCGGCGATCGCGAGAAGGATTCGGAGCGAAGTGTGTCGGCTGACCGGAGCGAAGGTTTCGGTGAAGTCTCGTCCGTGTTCTTGGTCGAAGCCACGCACGACCCATCGTGCCTTGAATTTGTCAATTGTGCCGTCAGCCTTCGTCTTCACGCGGAAAACCCATTTCCCGGTGAGAATGGTCTTGTTCCGTGCTACGCCGATGGGAACTACTTTCCACGTGTTGCGTTCCTCCAGTGCCTTCAGTTCCTTGTCCATGGCTTCGCGCCATTTTTCCTTATGCTCCCCCCCCAGAGCCTGTTGAACTGTCGCAGGCTCTTTAGGAATGGCTGCGCCGTGGACTGCGGTGACGAGACCGAGGATTTGGAGCCCACTCTGTGTGTAGCGAGGGAGTGAAGTATCCTCTGGATAAACTGCTTCGTCTCCCGCTTCTGGATCAGGTGCGAAGTTAGGTCCTACGCGTTCTGCTTCGTCGGTGTTGACTTGTGCAGGTGTAACGTAACCGTTGTCGGCGAAGTGGTAAAAGACTTCGGCGTTGTTGCTTTCGCGTGGATTTTCGTCATCCATTGGGACATCGACGGAACAGTACGGGAGGGGTCCGGCTTCTTCCGAGGCTCCTTCCACGTTCTGCTCGTCCCAGTCAGCTTCGTCTTCTGCCGAAGCGAAGGCTCGGTCTCCACGGAAGCCACCTGTGGGGTCTTGGTTTTCGTCCAGGTTGGCAAGGTACGTTTGCAAGGTGAGCCGCTCGTAGAAAATGACATCACGTGCTGCCACTGTTTCTTTTGTCTCGACGTCGAAAATCTTCCATGCGTTGTAGTGTTTTTCGATGCCCAGGTGTAGTCCCCACTGTGCCCGTTGGGAGAATCGTCCTGCTCGTGCAGATGGAGGTCGGTACTGTACCATGCAGCCGAAGACTCGTAACATTTTTGTGCTGCCCAGTTTTCCTGTCCACAGCAGATGCGGTGATGTGTTGTTCGGTAGTGACGACGAAGAAAGCAAGTTGTGCAGCATCACTGCATGGTCCATTGCTTCTGGCCACTGGTGAGTGGGTAGCCGCATGCCACGTAACAGTTTCCGCATGGTGTTCTGGAGGGTCCTGTTCATCCTCTCTGCTACACCCTGCTGTTGATGGGCGTAGGGAAGGGAAATGAGCCGCTTGATTCCTCTTTCAGCCAAGTACTGCTTGAACCTCTGTGAGGTGTATTCTCCTCCCCCGTCTGACTGGAAGCTTTTTAGTTTGACGCCCGATTCCCTTTCTGCTACGGGGAGCCAGGCGACGAACGCTTCGAACGCCATATCCTTGCTTGGAAGATTCAGGTGCCAAACGTAACGTGTCGCGGCGTCGATGAGCGTGATGGTGTAGTTGTACGTGTTTTGCCCCAGCTCGCGATTGTACAGGATGTCGCTGTACACCTTCTCGAGTGGCGCGTAAGCTGGTGCGCTTGGGTTATGGTGAGACGCAAACGGTCGATGTGGTAAGTCACCTTCAGGGCAGGTGAAGCACGTTCCGCGTACTCGTTGAAGTTCTCTTCCGTCGGTCAGTAGTAGTGAGTCCTTGTCAAGTAATCCTGCTCTTATCGTATTATTTAATACTGTGTTGCTTGGGTGTCCCATCCTTGCATGCCAGGTGCTTTCGTCGGCGCGATGTCCGGGTGATCGTCGGTACAGATCGGAGTTGGAGTAGAAGTTGGCGGTGAAGTTGGCGCTACGATGAACTTCTCGTGGTGCTGGGTGTAGTTGTTGCGCGGGTGTCAGTGGTGTGTCGTCGATGAGGAGCGGTGCCGTTGAAGGACCAGCAATTGGTGTTGACGTTCCTGCTGCTGCCGTTGATGGTTCTGATACTGCCGATGCTGTCTCTGCTGCTGCCGATGTTGTCTCTGCTGCTGCCGATGTTGTCTCTGCTGCTGCCGATGTTGTCTCTGCTGCTGCTGATGTTGTCTGAATTGTTGCTAACGCCCTTGTTCTTTCTGCCTCAGGGATGGTGTGTGAATACCAGAAGCCTTCTAGACTGAAGTCTGGATCAAGGTCTGGAGGGTGTGTCCAGTTGGTGAAGTTAACGATGGCGTCGCTGTCGGCGGTGGCAAGATCAGGAACGAAGTCAAGAACGAAGACGTTGTTCTTGAGGACCGCCTTGCCGATGTAAAGTCCTCCTCTCCCGTGATACAGCTTGAATTCTTGGGTGGTGCTGTCTGCCTCGAGGTGAATGCCCTTCGCCATCAACTGACTGACGCTCAGTAATTTGTAGCCGAGTCCCTCCGCGATTAGTACCTTTGACATCTGCAGTATAACGTTTGTTTCCCTTGACTGAAGTTGAACTACGCCTTGTCGTCGTGTTCGCAGGTTCTGATTGTTGGCGACTGTAATGACGACTTCGCGTTGAAGTTGGTGTTCTCGTTGAACGAAGCGTCCCGATGAGCACATGTGCTGTCCACAGCAACTGTCTAAGAACCATGTGTCCTTTCCGGATGGTTCGCTTTGGGCGATGGCGGCGTATGTCGGGTTCGGCTGAAGTGACTCGCGGCGGGGTGTGGTTTCGTCGAGTTGTTCTTCCGGTGAGTAGTGTGGTGGTGACCCGGTGATGCAGGAGTCACTCAGCTTTGCCATGCAGCTGACGATGTTTCTTGCTCCTTGTGCAGGTTGTCCCGTTGAAGTTGTTGAAGCTTGAACCTGGGTCGTGGGATTTGCTTGCGTTGAGGCGATTTGGCTGCTTGAAGGTCGAAGTTGCCGCTGTGGAGTTGTTGACTGTTGACGATTCGGGCAGTGCGTGCGCGGGTGCCCTGATGTCTTGCAGATGTGGCAGAACGGAGGTACTGGCTTCGGTTGCTGCTGCCGGTTGTTGTTGTTGTTGTAGCGTCGCTGAGTGTGGAACGCGAATTCCGGTGCTGATGTCTTCTTTTGTGTCGTTCTTCTTGCAGATCCATGTCTTGTTGCTCGGCGTGGATTTCGGCGCAGAGTGCTGCTTCGGAGATTCTTCCATGTGCTCGGAGAATAGCTTTCGTGGCGCGCCATTGAGGACCGAGGCCGCCGATGATAACTGTCACGAAGGCGTCTTCAGATATCGACCCTCCGCATCGAAGGAGCTTGTCGCGCAGTTCGCGACAGCGGCTGATATATGCCATTCCCTTTTCTCCCGGTTTCATTTCAACTGTTGTCAG